TTGCCTCTTGTACTGACATGGAATGTAATCTCTCCGTTGAAGGATGTTGCAATTGCTTTTGGTTACAATGAAATTCCAAAGGCAAAACTGGCATCTCTGAAACCACAATCTTTGAATCAGCTCAGCGAGCTTATTCGAATGGAGGTACAGTTTATACATGCTTTATATCTTGAGTTCAATCGCTTTTTTTTTTGCTCTACAATTTACTATACGTCTAGTCGATTCTATACGATCTATTCATTTAGTATTTATTTTCCTTTTTTGGGCTTTTACCACTGATCTAAGTTTTGCCTCAATATATGCAACTCTTTCAGTTTTGAAGACATTCCACTAAATCAGTCCTGGAATGAATTGTTGTACAATGTATATCCTTCAAATGTCATTTCCTTTCTTTGATTTTAAAAATTTCCTTATCCTAGATAACTTTCCTATATGTTTCCCTAAGTTTGTTACTTTTTACCTTATCTTTCAAGGATTCAGTTTGACCATAAATTGTGAACAACTTTTAATTTATTTGATAGTTCAAAGCTAGATCTCCATCATTTTATGCTTTTCTGATTCATGTGTTTCACTCTTTTTTGAACTCAAATACATTATTCAATTCCAAACTTCATGGTTGTAGCAACCTTTCTCTCTTTTTTCTCTCAATATTTAGAGAACAGGAATTATGTTTTGTCACTGTCCCCTTCATCATGCTTCTAAATGAGCAAAGCAGTAAACATTATGTACCCCAAGTTATGACACTAAAGCTTGCCGTGAGTAGTTATTTTTGCTGCATATCTGCTAGGAATTTTCATAGTTGCTACTTTTTTGTCTGTGTTCTCTTTGACTCCCTTGGTGAAAGCAAGACTGTGCGAATTAAACTTTAAGTATTTGATTGTTATTATTCACATTCCCCCTTTAGATTGCGATGCTTGGTTACACAGAAGTGTTAACGTGGATATTGTGCTCGTATAAAGAAAATTTCACCATGCTCAACCTTAAAGACAACAAGGCAACAGCAGCAATCAATGGAAATCCATGTTCTGCTGAATTTGAGGTTTGTTTTGTCTTCATTGTTTCTGTACTCTTGAAATCATGTTGTGATAACTATTTCTTCCTTAATTGTTTAGTGCTGCAATCTGATTTGACATGTAAATAATTTGGTTTCTCTTATGCTTCTTTTGATCTTATTTTCTGTATTTTATTTACTTCGCTATTTAGATATATTAGAAGCTTGAATTGATTGTCAGTTGTTGAGAGGCATTCAATGTTATATATATCTTCTAATGTTTCTAAATTTCTAACTAAACTAAGAATTTTTTCAGTCACATATTTATTTGGGTTTGGTGGTTATGAATTTCAGAATAATATATTCGTTTAGTCTTATAACTGAGTGTTCCTGGCAGATTCCTGTGTAGCTTTCTTGAGAATCTTTTATCATTTTAAATTTGTGATTGGCTGAGAAAAAAGACCTGGGAAATGGATAATGCATTGTGCTAATGTACTGTAGTATATTCTATATTAGTGACCTGGCAATGTTTGTAGTGGATACAGTGATTTGTTTTGAGTTAAATAGTGGGGTCTATGATGCACGGACACTTCTACTAGGGAAAATAGAAGTATGTGTTGGACACGTGTCGGGTCGACACCGACACTTTCAGACACTGCATGACATGAGTTTGATAAGCTTCATGTTTTTTCTTTATAATCTATCAAATTTCTAATGCTCAAGGGATACTTTAGTAACATTACTTGGGCAAGTGTTTGATGGGGAAAGTGCCGTGTCCTATATTAAAAATGGAAAAAATGAGTATATAATATATAATTTAAAATTTAAAAATATATAGAACGACGTATCCCCGATGTGTCCGTGTCCTACTTTTATGAAAAATCACGTATCGGTACATCTGTGTCCATGCAAAATAGAGTAGGTTTAAATGAAGTCATACCTCGTGATCGTTGCGTTTTCACACTTGTCTTTAGAAAGAGTAGTGAGATGTGTATGTATAATGTATTGGAAATGCATTTCGGTTCTAGCCATTGAATTGTGCCTCTTGACTCCATTTTTGGGTTTTTGGTTTTATCCTCTGGTCTCTCACCGAACTTTTGTTACTTACAGCCTACAGGCTTATATGGTTGTAGAATACTTTTTAGTCTTAAGCATATAGGTTTGTGGAAGTATATTTTTAGAGTGCAAAAACCTTGGGAACATTTCGATAATGATTAATCCGGATATAGATGGTTGTTGTTGGAGTGAAATGTCTATTTTCAAGCAAGATTGCTGGATTCTTAAAACTCCCTTTTACATGCATCTATGATATTCATTTGTCTTTGTTGTCCTCAGATGAAAATTTGGGCGCAGTTTTGTGAACCTTAAACTTCCAGTTCGTGTTCATCTTTCTGAAGAATTATGAATGTTACTGGTAGTCAGACACAAAATCCCTTTTATTTGATAGTTTGGATATATGGAATATAAAATCATTGTTTTTCGCTCTCTCAGAAACACTTCCTAGTACATCTCAGAAACACTTCCTATCTGTGAATGTTTGCAGGTTCTCCGTACCAGTCTTATGCCTGGCATATTGAAAACCATTGGGCATAATAAAGACCACCCAAAACCATTAAAGGTAATGAGAATATTTAATGTGATTCTCCTTGTATTTATGTTTAGCAGACTTGTTTGCCTCATTATTAAAGAATTTTAGGGTCCACCGTTCTATCTGCCTGAAATGAGCATAGCATGAAAAAAGTTGTTTCTGCTGTGGTCCTACCAAAACTAGATATGTGGAACTGCATGTCCTTGTTAGTACAGAGCCTTGGGGAATTGAAATTTTTGAAGGGATTTACAATGATTGGCTGTGTTCCGTAGATTGTTCACTTTGAATTGTTTGTTGATTTGATCAAAAGAGGGTTTTTAAACTAAACGATTGATGTTGATGAAACATCTATCTAGTGCAATTCTCATGTATTTAGACATCTGGTACTAGTACTACTATTATCTGCAAGTATTATAATTTATAAATCGCTTGAGGTAGTTGATGTCAAAAGCTGTGGCTATCTTGCATGTCTGACAGTCAGTTAGCCACTCTGTCAATTCCTATGGATGACATTTGTTGTACTAGACTGACATGATTCCTGTGCCAGGTTCTACATAATTATATTTTGGTTACTTATATATCCATCTGATATCCTCTAAAATGTAGATTTTTGAAGTGGGTGATGTGGTGCTATTAGATGAGACAAAAGACGGTGCATCAAACCGTCGTCATCTTGCAGCTTTGTATTGTGGAGCTACTTCAGGATTTGAGGTACCTATTGTTTCCAACACTGTTTATTGACCTATTTGCCAGGGTGAGATACTTAGCTCTGAGGATCTGGAGGGTTCTTATCGATAAAATTTGATTGAGCTCTTCTTTTCCAGTATTTGTTGATCTTCCTTTAGAATCTGATCAAGAGGATGGCTTGATTCAGCTTGCCGCATACAATTCTGAAATTGATTATTCTATTAAGTTCGCTGATATTTGCACTCTGAAACATTGGGCAATTCATTGTTCCATTTTTTTTACGAAACTATGACATTATGCTCGTGCACTTTCCCTTTACATTTTACAGTAATTGTTGACGTATGATTCTCTAAGTTTCTTCTCTTTTTCCCTTTTCAGCTTATACATGGTCTTGTGGATAGAATCATGGAAGTGACAGGAACATCATTCGTATCACCCGGGAACGGAACTGGCTACTATATACGAAGTTCAGATGTATGTATGTTAACTGTGTTCACTTTGTTGAATTTGCTAGGAATTGTTTAACAAATTTCCTACTATTAATTTATATTGTAGGATCCCGAATTTCTAATAGGCCGACAAGCGAGCATCATTTACAAAGGGAAGCAAATAGGCACTTTTGGCATTGTGCACCCACAGGTATATCAATATTTACTTTGTGCAATATGTTGAAAGACCTCAAAGTACCTTTCTGTAACTCTGTTTTGCATTAATAAAACTACATATTCTTGTGATTTACTGATAATCGTTGAAAATGAATACAATCAAATTTCTGATTTATATTTCTCTTTGGGCCATGATTTTCATATAGTATTTCAGCACGTGTTCATGTTTATGACAGGTGTTGGATAACTTTGATATACCAGACCCATGCTCCTTCGTGGAAATCAACATTGAGAACTTGTGGTAGTGTGACAAATTCGTATTTTATAACGAGAGAAGGTAGAAGTGATTACTTTTTCAAATCCACCCCTTTCTGTGGTGGTATTTCGAATTGATTGAATATGCACAAATATTGTTCTCTCTTTGCCCCAATGACTTGGCGTTGGTACGAGTTACATGGAAGTCTCGTGTCTTGCTGAATTTTTTATAAACATATGGGTGGTGTATTTCATTGGTCCATACAAGCAAGAATAGTGGATAATAAAATTGAGAAAGTGATGTAGTTTTCGACTGCTGTTCATCCATCTTTTCCAATTTTTGTTGTGTTTGGTTTCGTTATTGCTTTCTACTCGACCAGTCAGAGAACAAATGATACACTAATATCCAGAAAATTGGCGCACATCAAAAATAACAAATGGGATCCATATAGGCAGAGCATCTGTTGCCTCGAAGCATTGGAAAACGACTGAATTATTATTTTTACAAATGTACAGGTGCAGACAAAAGTACGGTAACAAAAGGATGAAGAAAGGATAAAGAAACCCGAAACTAAACAGAAAATAGTAAAGTGTGGAGTTCCATCTTTCCGGTGTGTAAAAAAATGTAAATTCAAAATGCTAAATGACGGTGATGCCGAAAGGAAAGCTTACTCGCTACTGACTGCAAAATGCTAAATGACAGTGATGCAGAAAGGAAAGCATACTCGCCACTGACTGCGTCCACTTGACAATACGTCGTTCAAAGGTCAACCTTAGTGGCAGAATCTGTTATTATAGCGGTTCAGCATTTGACCAAACTGCCATGGAATATTTATCTTTCACCGGTTAAATTGGATTGTTGCATCTTGCACCTTTAACCAGTTGCTCCCACCTGAGGAAAGTTTTAAAATGTTAGTCAAAAATCTTGAGAACTGCACCTAAATTCAATACCAGATTGTATACAGATAGCAATGAGTAGCAAAAAGGATCAACTGAACCTCAACCATCTCTAATTAGAGTTCACGTTTACCTTCAAGTACGAATCCAGAGGGGTTCCAATGAGAACGACTTCTCATTTTGAGTTTGAGCTGCTGCAGCCACTGGAGGGGGGGCATGCACAGTAATTGGAAGAATCCACTCACATTTGTCTCTTCCCTCGATCAGAAGAGGATGCTCATATCTGGCATTAAAGCCAGCAATTAAATGTTCCAAAAAAAAAAAAAGAAAAAAAAAAAGACAGATTGTGCAACACAGACATATCGAGTTATAACAACCTCAACAGCAGGCAATAACAGATTTTTATTTATACCTCCCAGCATATCTAGTACAGAATGATGGAGCATGAAAGGAGCATATATGATCCATTTATGAGTTAAATGGGAGCAATCCTATATGCAATCCAGAGAATCCAGAGACAAGCACAAGACAATATCCCATCGTGAAAAAGGTGCTTCCATCAAGGTAACTTTTCCAGATTAAAGGCTTCTAACGAGGACCTTTTGGTTTGATTTATTTTATCTATTCTTCATTCTACTTTAACCTTTATACTAACATCTCAAAACAGGAATTCATATTTAATTAACTTGAAAGTAGCAAGATCTTATTCATGTGCTGGTAACCATCTCTTCACACCTGGCAAATTTATGTCGTGGAGCTGATTTCAAGATCTGGTAATTAACCCTTTTGATGATTTCACGATCTAGTAACTGGCATTTTTGTAGCCATGAAGTAAAATTACAGTAAACATGAACATATCTGAATTGCAATGTAGAATTTGTTGCTATTGCGACAAACTATTGTATTCTTCCATCCCATAATGATTAAGAGTTGTACCTTGTCCAGTCCACATTCTTTGGAGTTGTAAGAAACTCAAAACGAAGAGCCCATTGCACAGAGACATAGCCGGTAGAAAAAGTCATTGGTCCATCCATAGGAATGGAAAAAAGAAAGCTAGTCTGTACTAAATCTGCAACAACCTCATGGTGATCACTATGAACCTGCAGAAATCAGATGCTAAAAAATTAGTGATTTCCCATAGGCCTTTACACAGTAAATTATAAATATTATTTTATCTTCATAGTAATGTATTGCTAAGATTTCCTTGTGGACAATTTACAGATAGAAAACCACTTCTCAATTTTATCATTAGAAGATGGCCTAAGAGTAAACAATTTGCACAAATTCCTGATGTAATTGGGCTAATTTGCTCTTTCCACAGATGTAGGAAGAATTCAGATATCTTGCAAAAAAAAATTAGGTAAATCACGAATTTTTTGGATGAAGTTGCAATTTTATGATTTTTGCCTTAACCAATCAGAATGTGTCAGAATGCCAATCGCAGTAACATGTGCTGCACCAGAAAGCATTTGATGTACTCAGGCATCGTGTGCAATGAATTGGGATTTCCCTAGTACATACCACCCAGTGGATCATCTTTCAACCTTTGGCTAGGTGACATTTGTTAAAAGTCAAAGTTCATGCTTAGGATTTGCTGAGTTCATTAAATTGATCCAATACAGCTTGGCCTGTCCTATTCCATCTTAGTATCCGCTTGCCACAGCGTCTATTAAAGTGCCTTTATGTAAATGTGATTTCTATTTAAGAAAAGGAAACACTTTGGGTCTACATATGTTCTACTTTTGCTTTTAAACCATTTATGATCAAAATCTCAAGTGAAACCATGTGACTAGAAAAGGAGCAGTGAACATTGTACTAGAATAAATGCACCTAACAAGTGAACAGAAAGGCAGCAAAGTGAAGTTCTAGAATCAATTTACTCAACCAGTGTCATTATTCTACTCACATGAAAAAGTTTGTAGCAAGATTTCAACTGTATTCATAACATGAGTTTAAAGTACACAAAATATTGAAAAGATATAAACGATATCTGGGTTCTAGCCCCCTTTTTTTTTTTTTGGCCGGGGGGGGGGGGGGGGGGGGGGGGGCCTTTGATCCCCCTTTGAATAAAAAAGTTGTTGAAAAGATATAAGAACACAAAACTGCTAAAATTATACACTAATATCTACTTGACCGTGCTTATAAAAGAGAGTAATCATCATTTTCGGCCTCCACGAAATTTCTCTTCCGTTTCCGAGGATATAGACTAAATATTTGAAATCATTTAAGAAGTTCTAAATTGTAAAACCTAATTGACTGTTCATCTACCTCGCAATATAATTAAAAACAACTGTGCAGTTGCTATCTACAGAATGAAAAGTCATCATAGTATCAGTACCACTCACCTTAGTAATAGTAGGAGAATGTCTCCGAGAAGGATGGACAGAGCGCCGACTTATAGTCTCCGTCATCTCCAAAGTTATTGTCAGCTAAAGGCACCAAGATGACAGTCAAATCCTTGTTCATAGAAACAGTAAACACTAAGCTAATGGTAGTTCAGAGATATATGATTGAATGCAACAGTACCTCAAGGCATCTCCTAGCCCCTTCTTCATGAAAGAAGGTAAGGGTTCCACCTATCTGTGAATTATAATGAAAAGGAAATATAAGGAAGAACTAAAACAAAGATAATAGAAAAGATCGTCATGCTACTACCATATCACTGAAGTAGTAATTTGACTCAGAGTTCTTTGGTGAAAATCTTAGTAGAACTTTGTCATCCAGTCTAATATTATATGATCTTCCGCGAACATACCCCTCTGCTGCAGAAAATGTCGGCAGCAAATTAGTTTCAAAACATCATACCTTATGTCAAATACTGGAATTATTGAAGGAAATAAGTTTCAGATTTACGAAAAATGCAACAGTAATAAATTACATGCTCCAGATTCAGCATTTCTGGAGGCAGATGATACTCTCGTGCTATCATCTACAGAAAAGGTTTTTGGATGTTTTAGCTGCTGACTTGGAGATGTGATAGCTGAAGACCTGTTTGGGGACAAAGCATCTGTTCACAAAGACCAAATTGTAAGATATAATGCAGCTTTAACAACTAAACACCAATTACTCTCACAGATAAACCAGTTTGAGTTTTGATGTTAGAAATTGAAATTTTAACGATAAAAAATAGTTTACCACCAGTAGAATCATGTAGGACCTCAGCCACAGACAGTCGAGGAAGTGCCATGTTTGAAGATATGCTCGTGCGTCCTTCAAGAAACACAGAACCTTTATTGGAAGACATTGCTGCAAATGACTGCAAAGATAATGAACTTCCAAAAGCTTTATGCATATCTTCCTTCAAATGATTATAGGATGAAACAGATGAGATCTCATCCCGCGAACTTTCATATCCTTCCTCAACTCCATCAAAAGCATCGTTTACTTTAGCCTGCAAAGAATAAAAAACAGTCCAATCCATACTCATACCTATAGCGTTATTGTTCTAATGATATCACTGTTGTTCACAATCATAGATTCATTGTTATTATTTTTGGCATTGCTATCGTTGTTCACATAATTGTTGATTTACTGAAAACCAGTCCGTTGTCTAACCCAACAAACATAATATGTATGTGCATACTGTTTCCCTCCCAACATTTTTTAGAAGCGGAAAATAGGAAGAAGACATAAATATTTAAAATGATAAAAGTATCTGCACACTATAGCGTTCTACCCATTCAGAATCTGTATTCATTTCTTTCCGGTACACGTCTAAGAGGATGGTTGATGCTGGAACAATTCCTGAAAAAATGATGAAAGACGTTGAGTCACTCATTTAAGAGGTAACATTGATACATTAAAGGAAACCACAATTAATTATCTATATTTGATAAATAAATTAGAAATGCAGAAACATATCACGAATAATGTTCTTGGAGCACGATATAGCAATGAATGTCTATTAAACCTTTATGTATTTAGACCCCTCACTGTCTCATTTATATATGTACACATATATACGATATATATGTACATACAAATGTGGAATGTTTTCAAGATAAGTAAGACATACACCAAAGTTACTGAAGAGATATATATTTCCCAAAAATACCTGGTTGTTACTCAAGAATGCCATACATACTGAACCATACCAGTGACTAAATGATGGGCAGCTATGCACATCTTGACCAACAGAAGTAGGCCATTAGGGATGTGAATCTGGCTGTTTGAAGTCAAAGGTTTTTAGCAATAACACACAGAATCAACAATAGTGAGAACAACCTAAAGACAATGCTCCACTAAACATTATCCTTCAACAAAGGCTGTTTTAAATCCCAATAACATTTATATTGCTTCAAATCAAAGACATGGGAAACATGACAGCTTTCAAACCACTCACCAGCCAATTTTAACCCAAAACACTTATCAAGGAGGCAAGGACGAAAAAGAATAAGAACGCCATAGCAGTAACGCAAGCTATTTATTAGTTTCGTGCACAAACACATGAGACGTGCCAGAAAAAAAGTTTACCATCATTGCAATCTTCTTCACTCTGCAACCCATTGTTTTCCTGACTGACCCATACTTGAAATGGTATTCGGGATTCCTGCAGAGTTTGAGGTATTTATGATAACCAATGTGAAATTTTTAAAAAGGCACGAAATGAATGATAATAATTAGAAGAAAGAAACACTTTCTAATTATTCACAAAGAAACACACAATTTGATCATATCATGTCAATGTCTTGGTATTTGGAGGCTTTCCTCACAAAACGGAAGGAAGAATAAATATAAGTATCTATTGTCTCCTGGGAGTTAAAAATAAATGAAGGAAAAACAGACTATGAAGGAACAAGCACACATCACTTCCGTCAATGAAAGGAGAAGCAAGAGACTACAATTAATTGAAAACAATTGAATAAAAAGAGATCATTGTTGAGACCATGGTTTCAAATATCCATTGTAATGTCCAGATTCCCAAATTTGGAAGTAACAATAAATCCTTTATCGAGAAAATGTCGGAAAAATTACTTTCGGAAACAAAGTCGTTAGATTTGAAGTTCTAGAGAAATCAAGAGAAACACTAATTCAGCATTCATAAAAAGCAAAAAGGATTATAAGAAAACTAACCAGCTCAGAAAGATCTTGTATTGACCCGTGAGAGGGTCCACTTTCCAAATTCAGATATTGGCCAGACAATGTACACCTTACATAGTACAAATAACGAATGGTTGCACCTCTGTATGATGGTGGTATAATGGTTGGCAGAAGTGTGCGCACCATATCTGAAAAGAAACAATTTACAGCACCCAACGGACCAGCATGAAATCAACAAGTTTGATAAATGATAAAGTTAAAGTATTAGAAGTTGCTTGAGAAGGAGATCAAAACTGTTGGGTATTTCACTAAATTTGGGATAACCAGTTGAATTTAATTGGTTTTGGTGAAAAGACACAAAAATGACCATCCATAATATCTACTACGAAGTGACCATAGAGCAACAAAAATAGTGAGCATCAAGAAATGAATTTCAGCATAATTACAAGAACCAGTGACCCACATTACAACCAACCAAAGGGCATATTTAACAATATTTACTTAGGCTTACAAGTTTTAGTGGCCCCACACGAAAGAATTTGATTGGAAACCACTGTGAGAGTCGAGCAATCCATGAAAACATACTCACCTGAAAAGAAATAAATAACGCATAATTACATTTAAGCAAGTATAATGTAGATGATAATCGCACAGTATGCAGACCCTTTTATTTTGATCTTCACTGAATCTTTTTGAACATCCAGCTTCCCTTATAAAGGCACCGTTTGGTAACCATTATTCTAGAAAAAAAAATGCATTCTTTGTGTCAAATCACACTTAATTAAAATATTTAGGCACCGTTTGGTAACCATTATTCTAGAAAAAAATGCATTCTTTGTGTCAAATCACACCTTTTTTGTGGTTGAAAATGAAGGAAAAGTTATTGATGTGATGTAAAATATTATTTTATTGATGAATGTGTGGTTGAAAATTAGTAGAAGAATGAGAATGAAAAAAAGAATGGATACCAAACAGAGGCAAAATCTATTTTCATTTCATGCCATTTCATGTTAAAACTAGAATATAAAGATTGAGTTATTACATAGTACATAACTTCAAATAGCCTACAACCTATATATGCATCCTAAAGACATCAAAGTTCAATGTGATCTGAGGAGGAAATTTCAATTATTTGTTTCACAAGAGATGCACGATGGCATAAAATGAACATGTTAAGAATCAAGCTAGTTTGGGGGCATAATTGCAAGTGACATCCTCCTATTAATTTCATGTGCAACTATGAGCCTTTAGTCTGAACGACATGACTCTGAATTTCATTAAGATGGGAAAACTGTGGAAAGGAGAACATGTATTCCAATTCTAATTGAATTGGCTTATCAAAAAGTTGAATTCAAAAGTGCAATTTTGGGCTGCCAAATATGTTGTAAGTTCAATTTCTTTAAAATAATTTCAATCTCCAATTCAATGCCGTCAAAAATAGTTTAAAACAACTAAAGTTTGAGAATTTAACATGTTATCTACCACCAAGTCCACTAAAAATCCACATTTCAACTTTTCCTCACAATTCTCATAATTCAGTCAATTATCTTCCATGTATTTCGCATGTATGCAACACAAAGTATCAAACAATCTTTCAGCTATATGATGAAACAATTTCACTAGTCATTTCATGTACATTATTTGAGTTACAAGAAGAAAATTTCATGCCCACGTCTTAGCTTCTCACTAATTCAACAGAAAAACCCACATTCAAAAAATTCCACCAAACTGAGGCAAGTAACTAAATAGCAATAAATAATTGAAAAAAGAGAGAATAAACGGAATATACCTCGTCGCTGCTTCAAGTGAGGAGTGGGCTTGGGAGTGTTGAACCACTGAGGGTCCAATTTTTCAATCCCTTTAATCTCAAAGTTAAGCTTTTCAATCAAAAGTGACCATTCGGGTGTTGGGTTTTTGATTTCAATCGTGATAGTCAATGGATCTCCCGGTCTATACACTTCCCTGTCCGCTTCCAAGTTCAGCTGCGGCGATTCCAGATCGTCTTTAACTGTATTACCCCCGGTGCCAAGGCCGAAGAAAGAAAATATCCGGGAGGGTTTACTCGGTGGTGGCATTTTCCAGAAATTTTGAGAATTTGGGGGAATTAATACATTGCAAAATATTTGATGAATCTGTATGTTGCTGAAGTTTTACAGCAATTGATGAACAGGTTAAAGATTTGTTCTACATGTTTGTTGGTAGGTCAGAATGAAGACCGATGACAATAGAATGAAATGAAGACCGATGACAATGAGATCCAACATTAGATTAAATTTCATATTTTACAAATCACAATTTTCGAAAATTCACCAAATTATAAATATAATTAAATAAAATTAAATGTTAAATAACTCCTTTAGAATTATCACTTGAATGAAGGTGAAGAGTTGCATCAATAAAAAGTTAAAACGAACCGGCCAACTATATTGTTTTGTCATCAGTTAAATTGAACAAATCATTTTTAAAAAAATAATAATTTATATAAAATTAATGTCTCATATACGCAATTGCGTTTTCAAACACAAATGACATCGTAGCATTGTGTTCTATTAAATTCTTTCTTTGACATATTTAAATTTTACTATGAGATTTTGAGATGTTCGTCACGTTTGCTCTCTAGAATGTGCTAGGAGTATGTGAGGGACGCTTGGGTGTGTAAGATGCAAAGAGATAGGGTCAAAGGCCCGACATTGGCAATGCAACCGCGAAAGACTTGAAAATATAAAGATCCTTGTGGAAGTCATTCTAGGAAATTATATGGTAAGAACTTGTCGGAGCATTCTACGATAAAGAAAAGAGACGTAAAAGGATTTCTTTAACTAAATATGCTTTTAAGTAGTTATATGAAAATTTTAATAGTTGACTAGAAGATTGTAGAAACAATATTACTATAATAAATCATTCAAACATATTCAAAGAATAAACTACAAAAAAAATATTGTCAACCATAAAATAGAATCAATTTCTACGGTCCATATTTAAAGGAGTTGAAAATATAAAAGGTCAAATAGACCTCATTGGCATATGCCTTGTCTACACAGAAACTATCGTATGTGGCATTCTTTTTTACAAGCTCGAAACTTGTGTTGAAAATGCCTTAATAGATGCAAAGCTTTCCTTTGAGGACATAGCTGAAGTGATCCTTGTTGGCGGATCAACACGAACAAGAACTTGTCAAGAAGTTTACTGACATATAACCTAATGTTACGGTTGAACCACATGAAATAGTTGCTATTGGCGATATACTTAAAGTACGTGTGGTACTATCTCTATGGAGTATCTAAAAAGCATACGGAGTTGAATGTTACTCGTGTTTCGTATTGAATGTTACTCGTGTTTTGGAAAGGAGCATTAGGTAGTCTGTCAAGTTTTCAAACTTATTTGTACCATCACATCGATCCATCTTTCATTGAGTACCGCATTGGCTATGACGTCGAATACAACGTAAAATAACTAAATCTCCATGGCTTTCTATATAGTCAACGAGAAGTCAAAATCATGCTTTGTATTGAATGTTACTTGTGTTTTGGAAAGGAGCACTAGGTAGTGTGTCAAGTTTTCAAACTTATTTGTACCATCACATCGATCCATCTTTCATTGAGCACTACNGTGTTTTGGAAAGGAGCACTAGGTAGTGTGTCAAGTTTTCAAACTTATTTGTACCATCACATCGATCCATCTTTCATTGAGCACTACATTGGCTATGCTGTCGAATACAACGTAAAATAACTAAATCTCCATGGCTCTCTATGTAGTCAACGAGAAGTCAAAATCATGTTTCGTATTGAATGTTACTCGTGTTTTGAAAAGGAGCACTAAATAGTCTGTCAAGTTTTCAAACTTATTGTACAATCACATCGATCCATCTTTCATTGAGCACTGCATTGGCTATGCCGTCAAATACAACATAAAATAACTAAATCTCCATGGCTTTCTATGTAGTCAAGCTATCAAATTACTCGAAGCTTTACCGAGGTTTGCATGTTTGAGATCTTGCAATTAGAGGATGGGTCTCCTTTGTCAAAGTGGTATGGATTTTGATAACATTGGTAAAATATGTAATTGAAAAGTTATGGATCTTATGAAATATGTGAATAAAATTAATTGTTAAATTTAACTTAAATTAAAATCTAGAATTTAATTCATATCGAATAGAAGCTAAATTCTTGTTTGGGAGGAATTAAAATCCAAATAAAATTGAAAATATAGCCGTTATTGGGTCTCACTCGTCTAATAAAAGTCAACAATAACGGTTAGTTTTTCAATTTTAATTTCATTTTAATCTCTACCAAACAAGTTCTTTATAAAGTTTTTCAATGCAAGTCACAGAGGGTATGAACAAAATCAGATGAAAAGTATACTACGACTTTGATGAATGATGATCACGTCCATGTCCAATTTAGTATACCAAATTCCCACGAAATATAACGACGATGAAATAATACAAACTAGACATAGAATTTGACAAAGTCCTAAAGTTGAGTAATGTGGTGGTCCAAACACTTAACCTCACATGGGTCGTGTAATCTTCACTTATAATTCCGATTAATGTTACATGCATGGTATCCAGAAAATGACACTGTTTCAAATAAAGATAAGACATAGATTAAATTACATTATGATTTAGTACAGATAGGCATGTCCTCAAATACCATAAGACATCAAACATTAAAACAAAAGATGATGTAATAACTAGAACATGAAACTTATCTATAGACGCAGCAACTAATCCTGGCCATGCATTTCAATTAGCTGGGACGACGATTGGGAAGATAATGTGGGGTTGATCTTGGGAGATAAACGATCGATTCTGAAACTGCACAAGTTCTTTTGCAAGAAGTGTACATGTTAATGAATCCAAATCTATCAGTTAATGTTCTTGAAATCTTTGATCCCTTCCAAAGATTAATCCCAACCGTTTGACCATGATCATCTTTAGAACACTCCACCAAAGCAGCGAAAAAAGGGTCCTTTCTAAAACTGTTACTTGACATGTACTTCTTTGGTGAAATATCTTCTTGAATCTGTTTCTTGGACGAATTTGAATTTCCGGCCGGTGGCAATGGGAGGAGACTGGTGGCGCCACTACCCTTTTTCTTGGGACTTCTTTGTTTCGGAATTCCCGGGAGTTGCTCCCAAGAAAATGGAACTCCACCTGAGAATTTTGGAGGGGTGCTATTGTGGCCAACTG